GCATTCTTGAACCTTTAGTAGACATGTCATGTCAAACTCCAATCATGTGGATGGCTAATATGGAAAGAATCTTCAAAACATTGCCTATATAATGATTGGCTCGATTATAACTTCCCTAATAACATTCCATATAAGTTATACTTTCTTGGGTGAGTTGTATATACCCTATTGGACAATCAATAATTGATTTGGCTACCTTCGGAGGTAGCACTTAGCCATAATCAAGTCTAAATACATTTTCTCTCTCGTATAAATACCCCTCCTCATTTTTCTTAAGGGTTGGTTGGTTCATTGCATTCATTAGATTTTTATGAACTCACCAAGTCTTTCTCAAGCTTTCCCTAGCCCTCTTAAGATCCAAAAACCTTCAAGTGAGGTGTTAAAAGAGTGAAGAGAGAGAAATTCTTCCAATCCAAATAACTTTCCATCTAGTGTTTTTCAAACCTTGAGGCCTTCAAAGAAGATCAAGAGGAAGTCTCCAAGAGTTCATAGAACCCAAGAATAAGGAAATTCAATATATGGATTGAGGTATTTATCAAACCTTTATTCAAAATATTCAATTTAAAATACCTTTCTATAAAGTTCTTTCCATAGCTTCCAAACACTCACCACTCTTCATATGAGTGTAGGGAAGCTATATTTAAATGTTATCTTATTTGGATTAGTGTATAAGAAGTTTGAGAAATTCTTTGATTAGGCCTATTTTCCTTCTATATGAATATCAACTGATCTCAATCATCCTATCACACATGTTTTGGATCCAACTGATGTGATCTAGCTAAATTAAAATACATATCAGACCAATTTAAATAGTGCATCACACAAGGGCTCCTCCAATAAGAGCAAGATCGTTGATCCCAAACCACATGGGGCCAATATTCTTGACTAATGACTTATGCGGTTAAGTGATACGGTGAGAGCACTAAGTGTTTGACATGTGTCTGATCGCAACTATTCGTGTTTGTTAATTATTTCATCAATGATTATGCAATCATTGGCTGCCATCGAAAAAAATTTAAATTAAATGTTTAAAATAATAAATCATAAATTCAAATCAGCCTTCATGACCTCAAACAAACAAATTCAATTGTAGATAATTTTAAATAAATAAATCCTTGCATCTATCCAAGCCACATAGCCTTATACACACATTTTTGATGGGTTGCTAGGATAACCAACTTTAGCCTATGTTAGGCCAATCGTTTAGGGTGATTTGATGAAGAGTACCTTTATTGGAGGGTATTCTTATTTGGTGTGCTTACTTTTTATACTCTACATGTCATATTCACACATTTTACACTCCTTCATAATGCACATAATTTGTGTGTGTGTGTGTTCAATCATTGTTATTCAAATGAAAATTCAAAGCAGAATATATATATGATGCATGTAAAAAAAAGTAGAATATGTCTAAGATGCTTGTAAATATAAATGTAAAAACTTATATTTTAAAACTAGCTTGAGTTGTAAAATTTAAAGAGTTGTATAATATTAAAAAAAATTGTTTGTATATCCTTGTAGGTTCCAAATAGAAATGTATGTTTCTTCTTCCTTTAAAGATTAGTGTTTTTTGAAATTCTATTAATAATCTAGGGCTAGAAGATTTGAAGACTAAAATAAACAATCAAGCTTATATCTACATTATACAAGAATAAAAAACCCAGTTTTTTTATAGAACCTGGCCACCTTACTTTCAGCGAACCCTAGGTTGTACTTTATTTTAAATTAATGAATAATTTTTTTTTAAATTACTTTATAAATTTAACATTGTTGATGAGGCGTTGGAGTAATATTATGAAAATTATTTAGGGTTTTAATAGTCCCTAAACAATGCTTAGTTTTTATTTGATATATAAATTATAAAATCTCATTTAATAAACACAAGTGTACATAATGAATACAATAATATAGTGATAGAGTAGAGTATTGATCCCATGAGAAAAAATGTTTACTTGTAAATATTAGTACTATCTACTATTATTATAATAATTATCCTGCTTAATAAAAATAAATTTTGGTGAAATTTCAATCAGTTAGTTTAAAATCAATAAAAAATTTAAATGAAATGCTATTTGGATAAAATATTTTGGATTGATGGAATGTAAATAGAATATATTTTCTAATGGTTATCTTTTATATGAATGTTATTCAAAGAATATGCATCATAAATCGCTAAGTCAAATGTGAATATATCTTGGACAAATTAAAGCCTTTCAACCTCAATACCACCCTAAACTCCCATAATCTATCACCCTATAAAATCTTAGAAGAGTAAGTAAAGTATGTACTGTTAAAGTCCCCTCATTATAATCATCTCTATAAATTTGGAATATGTCAATCATATGCCTACACATGTATCTTACCAATCCAATATACTTGGTTGTGTTTACTTTCCTATTCCTAGGCTCTATATTAGACCTTATGTTATAACATATATGGGCACTATGTGCATTAAATGAATATCTGTTATATTGAAAACAACATTAAATTATTGATGAAGATAATTCATTAGTACTCCAAATTCCATTTATAACATCAATAGAAAACTAGAGAGTTTAGTCACACATAAAGAACAAGTGAAGCAAACTTATTTCATTAATTACACAAAGGAAAGAAAGTACAAAAGAAAAGATATCGCATAATGGTTTCAATGATGTCCTCTGCACTCCTTTTTGAATTTATAGAATTGCTTCCAAACACAATTGTGTAGAAGTTCTGCTAACAGTTGAGTATTGTTGCATCCATATGACACTCCCCTTGGCTTGGCGACCCACAAAATTGGCACTGCGGTATTGTGCCAAAAAGACTAAGCTCTGCAATGCTGACTCCTCTGATGTTGCGTCACTATTAAATAGAGACTCGGCATTGCCATATCAATATTGGGTGCTCCGATGGTGTTAATGATGATGCCGTAATTGTATGGTATCCAACACCATATCATTGTAGCATACTTAATTTTTTTTGCATATTTCTTGCATTTCCTTGCACAAACAAAACTAAAATAAAATAGTTTCACTAATAATTTAACAAATAAAATATAATATTATTCACACTCATCAAATCCTCCCCAGTTTAAACTCTTGCTTATCCTCAAGCAAATAATTTTTTTAAATTCTTATTAAGTAATTAACCAAAATAAAAATGATAAACTAAAATTACTCAAATATATGATAATATATCACTGTCTAGAATTAGTAAAAATGAACAAGGCTATATTTCTAGTTTTGGAAAAATAATAATAGTTAAAATAATCAATCATTCTAGTTACAACATAGAGTTATAGATTTAATTATAAACTTTTAATTATTGAAGTGAATAATTGAGTTTTAATGATTATATATGGTTGTAGTTAAAATTGTTCATTCATTGGTTCACCATCCCTTATATTAGCTCACTCATCTTATCATTTTTTAGTTTATCTATAAGATTGTATTTCCAATCTTAAGCTTTCACTTATATCAATTTTTGAATGTGCTCATCTTTTTGTTTTGATTCTTTTCTTTTTATTTTTCTTTTCTTTTGAAAACTATTTTATAGTTCTTTTTCTTTTGTGGAGTAAATAATGAACTATTTTGAATATCATCTTCTAGTTTAGACCTTCATACAATCTTTATTATTTTAATGTAAGGGCTTGATGAGATTACTCATATTATTTTCAAGTTAGTTTGAATTTCAAATTGTAATCTACTCATAGCTAATTTTGAATACTAATTATTCATCTTTCAATTTAAAAAATTACTTTCATTAAGATATAGCTTATAAATTCAAATTAGGATATTTGCTTAAAAAATTGAATGAGTTAAGTTTTAGTTTTTCCAATCTTTGAAGTATAAATAAAGTTCATTCAAACTAGGATTTATGGTTTTGTTATTATCCTAATTTAACTTAATTTTTAATTATGATTTATATAAGGGTTAATTAAATAATCAAAATATAAATTTAATTAAAAGATAATAATAATTTAAGCATGAAGAACATTTGTTAATATGGAAAAGAAACACATAAATAAATAGTACAAACATATAATTTCATAAGAATGATAAAAGGCATATAAAATATATGTTGAACACAAACATGACATAACCTTCATAACATAATGTGTACTAGCATAACACATGCATCGGTTGCCTGCCAAAATTGCTAAATTTTTAGTCTTCAACCAGACTGCATAATTAACTAGACCTAAGGTTGGGTTGCCTCCCAAGCAGTGATATTTATAGTCTTCAACAAAACTTGCCCTATTTTCTATTTAGCTAAGGTGTATGATTGTTACTCTTTAATGGGGTACCATTGGTATCTCTTTCCTTCTCTTTAGGATTAACTTCAGTGTTACTAGGTGAAGATCTTATGAGCCTACAACTCACATAAATTGCAAGCTGACTTAATTGAGTTTCTAAGTTTTAATTGAAGTAGCTTGATTTTGTAATTGAGTTACTAACTATATGAACACATTTTCTAGTGGTGTCTTTTTAGTTCAATACTAAATACCTTGATTAAATCCAGGAGGATATTTTGGTCTTGGATTTTTATTATTCCAATTTACTCCTTAGTTATTTTGGCCAGAATTCTATTGATTTTCACCTTTATGATTTAACTAAATAAAATTGGGGTGAATCCTCTAACCTGGATTATATATATTTGAATAGGGATTCATTTATCTTCCAATCAAATTTATACTTTCAATCCATTGGATTTCATTATCTTTCATTGAGCTTTTATCTTTAAATATAAAGATGAATCAGTATTTAAGTCTAAAGTACTCAACTTCTTTGATATTGCTATAACTTATGTAATCAAAATGGATAAATGACCTTTTTTATAGAGTTCTTTCACTCTCTTAGGATTCACCCTATCAGTAGCCATTAGAAATGATTTGTTATCATTTCCTCAATTAATTCATAAGCATCCTCAAAAGACTTTGACATCAAAGAACCTCAAACTGCATCTAAGGGATCCAACCAATACATTCGAAAAAGTTTAAATTATTAACCAATCAGGTAAGGCATTGTGAGGGAACTTTCTAAAAATATCCTTGAATCTCTCATAGCTCTCATAATTAGATTCTCCTTCTAACTGAGTAAAAGAAGTAATATCATTTTAAAGTTTAGTAGTCTTAGAAGGTGGGAAATACTTTCCTAGAAATTTGTGGGCCAACTCATTCCATGTGGTAATAGAGCTCGGGGGTAATGAATTTAACCACATTTGTTCTTTGTCTCTTAGATAAAAAGGGAACAATCTAAGTCTAATGGCATCATAAAAATCACCATTGCGCTTAAGTATTACACAAATTTCTAAAAATATTATTAAATATATATTATCATATTCAATGGAAGTTCTCTTAAACTAAGAAATTTGCACCATCTAAATGATTATAAGTTTTAATTAAAAATTATTAGCTTGGATAGCAGGTCTATTTATGCTATGATGAATTTTGTCTACCATAGGGTTTATAAAATCCTTAAGAGGTATAAAATGATCTATGTCTTGAACAGGGTCAGCCTTTTTCAAAATCTATTTGTTGGTTCTTATTTTGAAAAGGGTTCTCTCATTTTATGAATCAAAATATTTCAATGATTCCCTTCTATGGCTTCTAAGCATGTAACTATAATTATGTAATTAGTAAAATAAAATAAAAGAATAAAATAATATAACAGGACTAATTATGCAATTGATTCAACAATTTATTAAAATTATAAATGAAATAAATCTTCCCTAATAATGGCACCAAAAACTTGATGTGAGTGGTGAAGTAACAGAAAGAATTATAAAAATGATTTAGGGAATTATTAATTCCTAAATAATGCTTAGATTTTCTTTGATATAAAATTTGTAGAAGCCCCACTTAATATGCACAAGTATACATGTCAAATCAAGTAATATAGTGATAGAGTAGAGTCTCAATCCCATGAGGAAGAATATTTACATATAAATTCAGGTAATGACTACTACAATTAAAATAATTATCATACCTACTAAAAAAAGGATTTCGTGTGGACTCAATCACTTAGTTTAAAATTAAAATAAAATGAAACACTATTTGAATAAAATGTTTTGGATTGATGGAATATAAATATAATATGTCTCCTAATGATTTTTTTTTTAATATTGATGTTATTCAGTGCATATGCATCACTGATTATTCAGTCAAGTGTGAAGAAATAAATAATAGATTAAATCCTTCCAACCTCAATACCTCTAAGCTCTCATTATCTATCACCTTATGAAAATGTTAAAAGAGTAAATAAAACATGTACTGTTAAAATCCTCTCATTATAATTTATCTCTATAAATTTGGTATATGTTAAGCATAATGCCTATGCTTGCATCATACCAATCCAATATATTTGATTATACATACTTCGCTACTCCTAAGCTCCAAGTTACACCTAATATTACCTACATATATGGCCATTATGTTCATTAAATGAAGATCTAGTATATTTAAAATATCATTTAATTATTAATGAAGAGAATTCTTTAGAACTCCATATTCCATTTACATCATCAATCTAAAACTATAGAATTTAGTCAGATATTAAGAGCAAGTGAAGCAAACTCATTTTTATTAGTTGCATAAAGAAACAAAGTATAAAAGAAAAGATATCACTTGATGGGTTCATTAATCTTCTCTATACTCCTCCTTGAAACTTACAGAATTTTTTCCACAAACATTGACCAAACACTCTTCTAAAGTGAATTAAGTGCTCCCTGAATTTACTTAGTGTTTACTCCTAAGGAAATTATAGAGAAGCACTATGAAGATTGAAATTAACTAAGTGACTGAACTCTCTTACTAATATTACAAACAAATTATTTAAGGAAAAACACTGAAATAAATTATGGTCTCGCGACACTCTAAACACTTGCACTATAGCACCCATAAAATGAATTAATTTCACAACATTGAAGGATTTTCTCTGTTGTGGTGCTTTCTGATGTGGATGCATTTTTCTGTGAATAGATTAGTCAATTTGATGATAAATTGTGTTCTAAATGGTTATAATTATAGTGTTGCGGCACTGCTTATAATTGAGCAGTAGAATGTCCAATTAGCAGTCCCCTTGGCTTGGTGACATTAGAAATTAGCTTTGCATTGCTATATAAATAGAGATTGGGCTTTGTAACACTAACTCATCCAGCATTATGGCACTATTAAAAAGATATTAGGTGCCTCCATGTCCATATTGGGTGCTCCGATAGTGTCAAAGATGGTGTCGGACCCTTGTTCAATAAAGATAATTAATATTCAACTTAAATAACAATTGGAAATCAATAATAAAACACTTAAACATTGATGCTTTCATACCCTTGTATTTGACTACTTTTAGGAAGGAAGAAGTGTATTGAATTGAAAGCTTAAGGACTAGAACACTTTATTAAAATGCAATGACTCTGTGCAAGCATTCTATCCCATCTATGGAGGATTTGTAGTATTACAAATATGAACATAGGACTTGCTAATCAATGACTTCTAGTTCTTAGAAGTTATTGAGTGCTATTTTTTAATTTAAAATTAAACTACATGAACAATCAAAACATCTAGTTATCATTTACTTATTTTGCTTATAGGCTTCTTATACCTTCTAAAACCATTATGATAAATTATGAGATTTTTACTAGGTTTCATTTTCCATCTTTTGGTAAAGCTGGGATACTAACCAACCTTTTAGGTTGTTTTAATATTTAGTATCCCCATCACCCAAATGGATCTAAAATGGAATTTAGTGGATTGCTTATCCATTATGGTAGTTTTAAAGGGTTTGCTTTTGCTTTCTAGTTTGTATTAGGTTTTTCTTCTTTTAATGCAAATTGCATTTCTTAAAAAAAAAAAAAAAAAAAAAGAACAATCAAAACACCCTTAAAATAAATTTAAAACTTATAATATATTGAAATTTAAATTTAACCAACATTTAATGACCTCAAATATATAAATTCAATTGTAGAAAATTTTAAACCAATAAAGCCTAGGATCTGTCTAAGCCACAAAACCTTATACATACACTTTAGATGGTTTGCTAGGATAACCAAATCTAGCCTAGTCTTAACTGATAGTTTGGTATGGTTTGATTTATAGTACCATGCTTGGAGGGTATTCTTATTTTGTGTGATTACTTTCTGTACTATAGATATAATATTCACGCATCTTATACACCTTTCGACACAGTGAACTTGACTTGTATATAAATGCATATTCTAGCATTGCTATTCAAATTAAAATTCAAAGTAGAATATATCTATGATTCTTCTAAAAAAAATTAGAATATATCTAAGCTACTTGTAAATATAAATGTCAATATAAATATAAGAGCTAAGATTATAAACTCAATTTAGTGTAAATTGCAAAGAGTTACAGAAGATTTAAAATTTATTGTTTGCATACACTAGTATGTTCCAAAATGAAATGATTCTTCCTCCTTTTAATATCATTATGAAAGTTTGCAAGGGTTGTTAAACCATGAAGAACTATCCCAAGGTTAACCAAGAGGTGGGGTGAATTAGATATTTAAAAACTTCTTTTAACAAAAAAGAAAATCCTTTTATCACTTGATGTGGAAGTAAATTATATTCTCAATAAAAAGTTAAATCAGAGTTTTCACCCACACATTTATTACAAAAATAAATACAATAAATGAAGTGCAAAAAATAATTAAAATGAACTCTCCATAATTTATAGTGGTTCGGTCAGCCTGACCTACGTCCACTCCTTCGAGATTCCCTCTCCAAGTATTGCACTAAAATAGTAGTGACACATCTTTTTCTCCTATAGCAAGGTGAAGAAGCCTGTATAGATGTTGTTTCACCACTCTGGTGTGGCTTAGAACCGTAACACTTTTACAGGAAGAGAACCTCAACTCTATTTTCACCCTCCAAGTGATGGTCATAGAACTACAACTCTATTTTCACCCTCACGGTGATGGTCAGAGAACCACGATCTTTGTTGAAGAACTCTTTCTCATAAGCCACAGAGAATCATGGAAGGCTCTTGTAGGTACTAGGCAAGATTCTTGCTTGGAGCAACCTTGTGAATCCCCTCTCAACTTCTCCCTCACAAAATCTCCCTCTCTTATCTCACAAAGATCTCCTTCTTCTCTCCCTCAAGGCTCCCTCTCCTGAAGTCTCAACAGCCAAAGATTTTCTATTAGGAGTATTTGAAAACCTTAAGAAGTAGGCTTAAAAAAACCCTAAAATTCAAGAGATCCATCTTTTGTTCGTACAGTATGATACACATATCATACAGTACGATCAATGTAACTCAGACTCATCCAGATAGTTCGTTCACATGAACTGTTCAACTTTTGTGACATTTTAAATGGTAAGATCAATACGTCATATGATATGAACTATACAAATTTCTTATGTTTGTTTGGGACGATCATTGGGATGGCAAACTTCGTACACAGGTGATCATCTAGTACTCTCTACATCATACAATATGATTAGTACAAAAATCATTGATTTCATTTAGTATGATCCACGCGACGACCAATTTTATACATGGGTAATCATATAATATGAATTATATCATATATTACAATTAATTAAAATATTCGTCCATGATATCAAGGGATTAGTTAAGAATGATTTTAATTAGGGTCTATATCATGATCTAAATCATATTGTACGATCAGTATATAATTAGTATCTTTCTTAACCTCCAGTGGCTAGGGTTTGACAGAGCATATTAGATCATACATTATGAATTAAAATTATATTATATAAAATAAGGTCTTACAGTACGAAACCAAATCGTACAACATGATGTACTTAAAAATAAACTCAATCAAAATCATTTTTCTAACTTTACTTGTGTGTGTGCAAGGTTACTCAGCAGTGATATCCATCTAATTACATGATATGACTCAAGAAAGGAAAATACATAACAAATTGAAAATTATAGAAAGTAACCCTGCTGACCTAATTTTTGTATGAGGTCACTAAGACCCACTGGGTTTCTTTCTAGTGACCCAATGATGGGAAAGTTTCTACTCCCTAATTATATAGGTCTTAGATAAGGTCCAACTCAACCTCAATTGAACTCAACTCCACATTCTAATACAATTTATGGACTAACCACCAATCAACATTCAATCAACTTCCAAATCCCA